ACCGCGTCGGTATGTGTCATCGGTAACCGTGCCGGTACATATGGATTAAATCTCGGGTTGCTGGCGCGTGCTAGTAGGAGGCAGCTGGAGGAGAACTACTTCTCCTCACGGCGCACGATATGGTGCTCCGCACTGTACGCACCTAACTTACCAAGTCATCACAAAGACCGCCTAATGTGCGTCGGCAAGCACAACGAGCCAAAACGACATATAACAGACATACATATACTAAACATCAAAGTATGATGTCTACGTATCGGAGATCTATAGCGGACAATCAAATAAATAAATAAATAAATATTGTAAAAATTAGTCAAGAGAATAAAGTCAAAATGTGAATATGTAAAATAAAAAGTCAAAATAGTTAGAAACGTACATATTTATTCAAAAAAAGTTTTTTTTATTCTTTTCTTTTCTGTATCTTTCTGTTTAACGGATATTTTCCTATTCTATTTTGTATTTTTTATTTTGTATTAGTGCTGAAGATAATAAAACCACTAAAATTCGATCGTAATGTTTGGAACATACTGAGTTTTAAGCTGTTTTTGATTGTCCATCTTCAACTTGGACCACAGGCTCTTTGGTTATTTTTCTTTTATAAGTTTTGTAATTAGAAATTTGTTAAAATAAAAGTATATTGCAGATTACGTACGATTTATTTATTTATTTGTTTTCAGAGCTATAGTTTTGCGCCGATTTGCAGCAGTGCTTTGCCGAGTGAAGACATTAAGGTTACTGATATAGTGCAGGAAGTATTTCAGTTTGATAAAGATACTACAAAGAAAGAGGCAAAAAATCAAACAGTCGGAAAGGCTATCGAGAGCGGTCAAAATGAAATTGAGCAGATAGGTAATACAACCGAGAACCCATTGTCTAAGAATGATCAAACCGAGCGATTCTTTGGCAAAGTAACGAGCGAAAAGTCGATAAATGATTTACAATCCAGGAAAAACGAAGATGTTTCTTTTGTGCAAAATTCTAATCTCAAACTGAACACTGACGATATTGTTTCAAATATTCGTGACAACAATGGCGTCGTAGCTGGTAACAGTTAAATATATTTGCGTAAATATTATAAATTATAAATATTATACATGTAATTTGTAAAATTAAATTTTTAGTATCACAAACGGAATCTGGAAGCGGTCAAATACCAGATGAGCCGGACATCAATTTAAATCCCGTGTTTGACAGACTCGGACCTCCTAACATAGACTTTGAAGATATGGAGATGTCTGCTAAGCAAAATCAAGATTCTTTTCCAGCAAATTTTGATGGAAATCCACATTTTGTTGTAATTGATGATCATGAATTAGAGACTCCTGACGGCATCGAAGGGCCTGTATCAGTATCGGTAAAACCAGATATAAATTTTGACAGCGTTCAAGAAAAAGAAGCGAATATTAATAACGCGCAATCACAAACATTAGGTATGCATATAAAATTTCAAGCTAATTAACTTTTAACTTCTTATTTGAATTTCTTTTGATTTTTGTTTAAATTTATATTAATATAAGAAAATATATATTATAAAAAATATATTAATATAAGAAAAAAAAATATTATTTATAAGAAAAAAATATATTTTTCTATATGTAGAGAAAAAATCAATCTGTTTTTCTTTATCATCACAATATATACGTGAGTTTAATAATATCATATGGAATAATCTTCTAGTTCCAGCATCTCTTCGTTTAAATGAGTCTTGCCCTGTATGCGCTGACAAATTACCGTCGAATATTAACAATATTTATTGTTCTGCTAGTGCTGTTGTAAAAGCGGCTGTCAGACGATTACGAAAAGTTAGACTTCTCTTAGATATACAACCGTCACACGAAGTTAAACGTCTGCGTTCAACGATGGCTTTTGTCTTAAATCCTAGTTGTTCTTGTCCGCCTTTAGATAACCGTAAGTTTATTCCTTTTCTGATCGAGGCTTTTGCTTACTTGTTCAACTATTTCAATCTATTTTTAAACTTTGTTATAGCTGGAAGTCTAGCATTGCTGATACATTTTGGAAACAGCGAGTTTGCCAAACACTCTCACAGTCGACATATTTTAGATCAGCAGATTTCTATATACGGATTACCATCAATTGGTGGTGTTCCAAATGAAATTACGGACGCCCGAACAACGTGTGCGAGTCAAAAGAATACCACATCTCTCAATCTTCCAATAGCTGGTTGATATTCAACATTTTGATGTGGAAATATATTGAATAAGAAAATAACGTGATATATCGTATCAGTGTAAAACTTATTATTAACCTAAAGGTTAATTATTTAATTCCGAAGACAATCTCTCTAATATACATAAAACAGAACGTTTTTACTACAGCAATATAAATTGCACATATGTACACGAGATCTATTTTTGTGATAGCAATCATTTATTTCCCCGACGATCAATATAGTGCTCTGATTAAAACCGACGATAAAATTATAAAGAGCTACAGTACACCAGTTAGTTTGTCAGTATGATTTTTCTTACATAGTTATACGTGAATATTAAATACAACGTATTATATAAGTTTGTGATATATTTGATTAAAAATATATTTCAAGAAACTAGTGTCATATATATTGCAATTTTAATTGACATTGATCTTGTCAAAGAAATTATCAGGTGATGAATTTGGAAAGAAATCATCTTCCAACTTCCACGGGTCGATCTCTCGAAAAGATCTCGCGTCTTTTGGGAATCAATTTGTCAAGCTATATGGGCAGATTTTACGGTCTCGTACTTTTAATATTGTTTTCCTTCTTAAGCCAGATATCTTGGCCCGATGTTTGCACCAATTATTGCGAAGAACATCTTATTAGGAAATTCATGGTAACCTTACAATATATTTTATATATTCTATTAGTATTGACAATGGTTGGCACGTCTCTATTTCGTCCCAACCAATTTGCTTCACCTCATCAGGATATGTTCGTCATAGATTCTATACTTGAGTAAGTTTTTCTTTCAAATAACTAAAATGTTGCACATTTATTAATAAGATACAATTATTTACTACATGATAAATGTCATAAAAAAGCTATAGTTGTTACGATATTTCAGATTATATGGTGCACGGTTCTCAGATAAGGATATTTTTTTCGCAAAATATCTACAGGATGCCGCAATAGCAATAATAACATTACTTGTTCTAATAAAACATGCTTATGATATAATTGCGAGTAATTCGTTTCAGTTAATATATTATTCTTTACGCTCTTGGTACCCTATAGTATGCTTATTATTTATGGATGGATTGTTTGCACATTATGTAAACGATATATATCTTAGGCTTCGTGAGTTGAACAAAATAGTAATAGAACATACAAAGAAAGAAAATTTGTCTGTCTCTTACATCGATTTTATAACAGATTCAAACATATTAAAAAAAAAATGGAACAATGTTTTAATTACTAAACTTCGTTCAATTCAGTATATTCATCATAGATTGCATGTTTTAGCTACAAAGGTATTTTTATATATTTTTTCTTATTGATTATTGTAAGATATAGCACATTGATCATAAATCATAACTTAGTAGTATATAGAACTTCTATAACATACACCACGCGATAGATAAAAACATTGCTTAAGTTTATCTATTGTAACCCAGATAGCCAAATGTGAAAACTCAATATAAAGCAAATCATTGTATAGAGTAAGTTGCTCGCCAATTGCTGTTGTGTTGTTTTTATTCGATGCAACGAAAATGTTTTTGTCAATTCAGTATCAATATGCTGAGTTTTATTGTCAATCAATTGTTGTAGCCAATGTTTATGACAAATGAGTCAGCAATATGTGGGCAATAATTTTTATTCATAAGTTGAGAAAAATAATATAAGTTTATTGCCGATGAGATGTTGGGAACTTGCTGTTATTATATTTTGAAAACTGTTGCTGGCAAGAACATACTGAAAAGAGGATACATCCTTTTTTTGTTACAGTGCTGAAAACATATGAGCAATATTTGTAGCAAGTTGCCAACAACTTGCACTCAGTTAGCTATCTGGGTAACAGTTTAATACAGGCAACATATTTTTTTGTCACCAGGTAAATACAAATTTCGGTCTACAGCTTTTAATAGTATCTGCTATATGTTTGAATGCTATAATTCTCCTTCTTCATGATATTTATCATCATATGAAAGCAGGAAATGCTAATACTAAAATATTAAGTTTTCATCTGGTCTTTATATCTTGCTATTCTCTTCGATCTCTGTATATCAGTTATGTTTGTCAGCGATCGAGAAATGAGGTTGAGTATTTCATAAATAAATAGATGTGTATATATACAATACAAATGCTAATTCTATATTTAGTTATATATACAATATAATGCTAATTTTATATTCAGTTCAGACAAATGGCTATAATTTTACATGATATATTTCTGGAACAGAAGTTATTATGGATTGAGGTGAGAAATTTTATACGAAGTTTATACAAAATACTAGCTATACATCTTTTTTACAATACTATTTTTTTTTAATTTTAAATTCTTATATTTATATACTTACAGGTGATTCATTTTTCACTACAATTAATTTATCAGGACTTCACTTTTACTGCTTTTGAGCTATATGAAATTAATCTGTCTCTTATATGTTCCGTAAGAATAATCTTTTTCTCTATTAGTAAATTTCATAATAGAATAATGACTTGTTCTGATATAAAATCTTTTACCAGATTGCTGGAGCAATAGTGACATATCTTGTGATGGTTATTCAATTGGATACTACAGCAAAATTTGCTCTTATAAATAATGTAACAACTACATGGAATTATATGGAAGATAACTCTACTAATGTTATTATGTAATAAGTTTCGGATAAAAGCACAAAGAGAAATATATATTATTTTAATATGTATTTTTTATAACTATAAGGTATAATATAAAAAAGACAACTGTTTGTCATAAGTCATTTATATATATATATATATATATATATATGTATAAATATATATAAATGTGTAACAATTTATTTTTATGAAAATATTTTCAATACACATTAACAATAAAACATATGTAATACTTGGTTCTATCTACATTTAGAACAACCACTATATTTTTGAGTATATCTTATACAATATACTAATTTTTTATAAAGATTACGAAAGATACATATATATATGTATATAAACAATAACAAATATTCCATACATATTATATACATAAGAGAATATTTATACAAATAATTCATTTGTTTCTCATCCAAGTTGCAATATCATTGTGTTATCAAGAAACTCAAGTAAACCATGTTATAAGCACAATATATATATATGTGTATATATGTATATATATATATATATAACTTACATATATATATATATATATAAACTTATATATATATATTAAATCAAATTTTGTCTAAATATCCTATTTATACTATTTAATAATATTTACAGAAGTGTCATCTTTTTAATATGGAGATCCTTGTTACTCCACAAATAAACTATTACTTAAAAATTTCATTTCAAACTGAACATAGCACCTACTAGCACCATATTATACATAAAATTTTAGTGCATCCAAATGTTACTATCATTGATTTAAACCAAATAATTTTAAAGCATTAAAAGCAGTAGCCAATGCAACTTGTTCTGGTGTTGTTCGCATAAAAGCTGCTACCATTTCCACAATTGCTGGTAAGGCACATGGTTCATTACGTTGAAAGGTACAGTAACGATGGAGGAATGTCATAGAACGTTCAGTCAAAGCATCCTTTACATGCACAGGTAATTTACTGGCTCTGGTGTTAGGATACATGAACGGTGCATCAGTTTCCACCAAGATTTTATCCAATGGCACTTGACCTCCTTCTAGCAACTGTCGTATTCCACTATCAGATTTATCCTTGCACAGATAACCAGTAATACCTAAGTAAAAGCCTTGATTCAAGTATATTTGAGCCTCTTCTGCTGTACCGATAAAAGAGTGAACAAAGACAGGTGGTAGACGATGCTTATATTGACTAAGAACCTCCAACACATCTTTTTGTGCACCTCTCTCATGTATCACTAATGGTTTATTTAATGAGCAGGCTAACTCTATCTGTTTGTGGAAGACAACACGTTGAGTTTCTGGGTCTGAAAAATTGCGACTATAATCTAAACCACATTCTCCAATGGCGACACATTCCGAATTAGCAGCTATGCTCTCCAATTCCTGTAAGGTATCTGGATTCTCCCAAGATTTAGCATCATGTGGATGCACACCAGCGGTAGAATAAAGGGTACCGGGATATATTCTAGTTAGTCTCAATGCTTCCTTGCTGGAACGAAGACTGGCACCTGTCACCATAATTTTCTGTACACCAGCATCTTTCGCTCTTTGTATCACACTGTCCAAGTCCCGAATGTACTTCTTATTTGTTAAATTAGCACCCACGTCAACTATAATGTAATTCTCATAGCACTGAGTCATAGATGAGGGAACAGCTTTTTTTTCTTCGGCCATTTCTTTAGACTTTTATAAGACAAAAGCTGAAATAACACAGAATAATAAGAACGATAAAATCCAATTAATAACACTCTGATGCAAAACATTTTTTTATATTACACAACAAGAACGCACACATTAGCAAATATTAAAAATAGAATAAATGTCTGAGATTTCCTCCTTTTTGCTTTTAAGAAAGGCAAGAAAGAACAATTCATTTACTTCTGTCTTCTCATTCATAATACAAGATTTGTCACGTAAAACCTTCGTCGTTTCACGCTACAAAAAACTTTCATACTGAAAAAAAATTACATCTAGAAATTAACGGTCAAGTTTTATCGTTTCTAATTGATGATATACCCAGAGTGTAGTCTGTGTAGTTCGACGCAGTCCTTAAATCCGTGTCACACTACGGTTGCGTTCAGCAGAACTCAACTTTTTTTTATTGGAGAATAAAGGTGCATGCCACAAGTGCTAGCTTATGTGGCTTAAGGTAACACACAGTGCGTGAAATACACATCTGGTATCAAATGAAAATCCCTATCGAGGAGGAACATGTATAGGGTGTACACACGGCGTCAAAAATTCGCGGAGTAGGCGCGGGGATCGGAGGGCAAGCGGGGGGGTTGCTCGTAGCGCCAACGGGCGCCGTACGAACTAAGTAGTAGTCCACAACTACGTCTTGTCGATAATGTAACTATTCTTCTTTATTATTTTCTTCTCAAAACGTAAAGCCCCTTGCACAATGGAAGNAATAGCGATAGCGATAGAAATAACACAGTTTTTAACACAGAATTNCAACTCGTCGGAAATTTTATCGCTATTGCTTATTCCGATTTTCTGATCTGCATTAATACATGTGTAGTTTTGTATGTTAGATTCCGCTGTTCCTANCTTTATTTTTAAATATAAACTCTTTAAAACTTTTGTTATTTCTATCGCTATCGCTATTCCGTCCATTGTGCAAGAGGCTTAAAACTATTGGCCATTTGCTAAATACTTAACGTTGACAAGTAACATGTATATAAATATATGTGTGTAAGTGTGTATTAAATGAAACTATAATGTCTTTGGTATATGGGAGAAACGTATATTGTAAAAGTCTCGTTTAAAAAATTATAT